CGCGTGACGTCAGACGTCAGTGTCTCAACCAATCACAATCGAACGATAATCGCTTTCGTTTCGTTCATGTTTTTTACTGTCTAACCCTGCTTGTCTCTTTATAATATTAGTAGAGATAGCACTCTTTACTCATATAGCAAATTATTTTTCTATTGCCACAAAGATGTTTAAAAATGAAGTGTTTACCTCAACAGTACACGATTCTGTCTCCATCGTCCTCTGGTCAATGGAGGAGAGAGCGGTAGATTCTCCGCAGAACTCACAGTCCGGTTTATCTATCCACTCAAAGAATTCAAACTTGAACCACACCATTAGCTCGTATAAGAGAGCTATTTCAAACGTCAAATCGTCGCCCTTGATTTCACCTGGTGAATAGGATTATCTTGATGTCGGTTGTCTCCGTTGATATTAAAAAACTTAGCCTATCTTCCTATAGTCCTACCCTGTCTATTTTTTTTATGATGTACTAACTTTCGCTCGCCACTCCGTCCGTGTGGAATTAAAAAAACAAAAGTAATTACCCTATTATTCCAGAATATCCTTTACATCTATGCCAAATTTCATAGAAATCCATTCAGCGGTTTAGACTACAAACTCTAACAAACATCCATCCATCTAAACTTGCGCTTTTATATTAGTATATAGGATAGTTTAGATCTTCAGATTATCTAAATAGGTCTTGCTAAAATTTTGCATAGATAAAGTCTGGAAGAACACACAAGCTATTTAATATGTTTTTTTAAGTCCAGTGTAACATAAATTATGAATTACTAGCTATTTCTCGTGTCTTCATCCGCGTAAAATTAAAAAAAATATAGCCTATGTTACTCACAGATAAATTAGCTTTCTAATGGTGAAAGAATTTTTAAAATCGGCCCAGTAGTTTTTGAGTTATTTCAATACATACAAAAATACAAATCTTTCCTCTGTATTATTAAAGAATGACTACATTCGAAAACAAAAACATGTTTTTAATACTTATATGTCTTACCAATTTTCAACTTTCTCTGATGTTCTCTTACTCTTTCGGTAGCTCTTAGCTCTAATGAGATAAGTGGAATCAATTCTCTAGCCTTGTCCTGCACATCATCTTTCTCATAAAGCAGTACATTGTTGAATAACATTTCTATTCTGTTGAATAGTGGGACTCCTGTTTCCTGAAAAAGGAAAACAATACGTAAATACAATACAAACCAATTGTTAAAGAAAGAATTGTCCCAAATATGTGCCACAGCGTGGTGTGTTTTATTGTGCAAGGATATCTTACATTATGTGTTACACGGAAGAGCGGGACTTCCTAACACAAGTGCCTATTGGTTACTTAAAAAGAAGTCTCTACAACTGATTAATTTGTAACTTAACTTGATTTAATAATAATGATTATTTTATTTTATTTTTATTTATTTTAATAAGGTACATAAAATTAATTTGTTTACTGTTAAAATAGTCATAGAACACCAACAAACATATTAATAAACCTATTTACATATAATAAAATTGGAGTGTCTGTAATACCAAAAGGAAAATTCCATTTAAAAAGTTATTGTCTGTCTGTCTGCAAGCTGCATTTGTTCGGGGTAATGTCCACTACGGCTGGGCCGATTTTTACGGCACTTTCACTGGATGGTAGCTAACAATGTTGGCATGGGCACATTATAGGCTACATATTTTTTTAATTCTGCTCTGTCAAAATGGCGACCGAACCGATATCTATGAAACTGGTGGACTGATTAAGACGAGACTTTGACTGGAAGGTAATTGTTAAAAGATTAAAAGCTAGCTGTTAGAAGGAATGTTCTGCGCTAACAAAGTTTGCAGGCAACAGCTTGTAAGTAAATAAACAGTAAGACTAGATTTAGAAAATGCATTCTTAATTAGACATCAAGTTTAATATTAATTTCCATAACATGCATTTTAATAAAATAATGTATTTTTAATCTGCCTTTTGCTTCTTTTACTTACCAAATAAACTGGCTTCAAGTAATGTTCATTGTTCTTCATATAACATGAAGTCTTTTGTATCTCAAATCCTTGCTTGGAGCCGTAGCAGATTGATATCTTCCTCTGGAGAGCAGACTGAGCAAATCTCAATTTGCCGAGACTTTGCTCTTTTGGGTATATATAGTCATGATTCACCTTAAATTAATAATGTTATATTAAAAATTTTCTTCATTGATTATCAAGACATATGTTTTATCGTGTCAAGATATGTTACAGCTCATTACAATAAACACAAATCGATTTTATATAGCTTTTCAAAAGATGTATTTATAACAAATTATCATTTATGTTTCATTATTTTAATATTTAGATTTATTAACTCACAAGTTTATATCCCACGTATTTCAGATATTCACAGAAAGCTCCATATTCCAAAGCTTTCTTTAAATATGGACTTCTTAATATTCGATGATTCAAGTCGTGGGGATTTTCTAAAATGTTATCTATGTGTTGCAAAAGTTCAATAAGAATTTTATTAAATTTATCTTTATCATTTATTGTTTGTTCGACCACCGCTAAACGCGCAACGTCCTCCATTATCGAAGTATTTAGTTTGACAATACTTTTACTGCTTTAATGATTTAATATAAATTTGTAATTGAACATATCAATAACAAACCATCACCATTTCTTATCAAGTAATTTGTCAAAATTCTGATAACTCATTCCTGTCATTGGATGTGACGTTCTGAAACGAGTCTGAAACTCATTAACCCTATAAAATTCTAAATAAAAATATAGTCATAATTACAAATACACTTTAATACGTATGATATCTTTATACGAATAATAAAAAAATATTAATTATTAAAACACTATTAATTTAATTCAATACAAAAATTAAAGATCAGGAATTTCATTTTCGTTGCCATAGCAGCGCAAAGCACATAAACATATTTAAAATGTAAATCTAATTATTTACTGGAAAATCATAATGGTATGATTATTATTACATTATGTGTATTTTATCCAATACTGTATTTTTATTTATATTGAATATTTATACCTAATCCCATTTGATCATAGTGTAATTACTTCTAAGACACAGGTTTGCAACTCTCGGAATTGGTTGTTGCACGCCAGGTATGTTAGAGGAGAGCATTCAATGTGCTTGGAATTATCGGACGAATTACAAAAGAAAAATGGTAACACGCATATCTACGCACATTTCATAAAGGTATTACTCGGCTTTGAAGTGACGCTAAAAACATCTATCCATAGAATAGAGTAAATTAAATTATTCTTACTTAACGCATTTTTTTGTTTCCTTAGGGATTAGTATTAGCCGATGCTGGGCGTCTGCAGGAAGCTTTAGATCGTTTTCACAGCTGCATCAAATTGTACTCACAAGATCCTGAACCCCTAAAACAAGTAGCTAGATGTTTGTAAGTTTTTGGCGATATCAAATCCGATACAAATATTCATAACAAATAATTCGAGTGAATTATTCTATGAGAAGTTAAACATCAATCTTTTTCTTGTTACAGATATCGTCAAGATCGATTCCAGTTATCTTATGAAGCTTATTTGGAAGCTGACAAGTTAGCGAAACATCTTGATGCTGAAATTTACTGTGGTCTAGGTATATCTTGCAATAGAGCATAGAGTTCAGGTTGGATTTGGCTCTGATACTGAAGCCTTTGCTTTTATTCCTTAAAAGAAACTGATATGAGCGGGAATTTTGTATTCATCAGCTGAGTGCTCGTGGAAAGTTGGGGACGCGGTGCGCGGGGTGGAGTGGGCGCGGGCGGGGGTGCAGGCGGGCGGCGGGGAGCGCGCAGGGGCGCTGTTAGCGCGTCTATTGCTCGCCTGTGACCTTCTCGAGCCTGCGCTGCAGGCATACGACCAGGCTATAGCGTTAGTTGGAATTTAAAAATAACCTCATTTTAATAGATCATGAACGAAAGATAAATGTATAATAAATATTTAATCTATGTTTCTCAAATCTGTAATTTTTTAAAAATGTTCATTTGTTTTCATGAAAAATACAAATACCTTCTTTTTGTGCAAATGTAATTGTCTGAAACGATGTAAAATTTTAAATTAAGAATTAAAATATCAAGAAAAAGGAAAAAAAAAACAAAAAAAATATGCCGCCCGAACAGGGACTTGAACCCTGGACCCTTGGATTAAAAGTCCAATGCTCTACCGACTGAGCTATCCGGGCTATGAAGAAAGTTATTCAATATGCGTATTATTTCGAGAAAAATCAATATTTAGGAAACATAATAATAAGTTTTTGGTGAATCATACTGGTTTTTATATTTACAAATGCATATTAATTATGATCATTCCGATCTACTAAACATATGTAACCTCGACTTTCGTTTAGTGGATTAACTATTATTGTTTATTTCTTCATACATTTATTACGAAAACATCTGTTTATATAATTTAATGTGAATTCTGAAATCCGAAACAAATGTTTTAAAATGTTTCGATTGTTATTCAACTATTAACCAAATGCAGTCTTAGGTCCATGAAAAATATCTACATTTTCCCATTTAATCAAAATTCTACCGAGCGAATTGACATGTACGAGTACAGTACCCGTGTTAGGGCGAGGTAGGGCGATCGCCCAGGGCGCCTTTTTTTCTTTCGAGTTTGTATTGCAGTTAGGGGATCCGTGGACATCTCTCGGGGCGTCTGTAATGCTAAGTGGGCATGTACCTAAATAGCTAGCATTTTTTGTGTGTAGTGCGAACGCTTGCGGTGCCGACACTCTAGCAGCAGCGGGCGCACTTCGGCTGCGCGCCGGGGACCCACGCGGTGCCTTCCAGTTGCTAGGCGCGGCGCTGGCCCAGCAACCGGGCCAGCACGCCGCTGCGCTGGCTCTTGCCGCCATGCTGCTGCAACACGGGGACGCGCCAGCAGCACTCGCCCGGCTCAAGGCAGCGCTCGCTGCGCATCCCACGTGCGTCGCCGCTCATTCCAACCTAGGGTTAGCTCTGCTTACTAAGAAGAAGTATGTAGCGGTGAGTAAGTAACCCAAAGATCCCAAAATTGAATTGCAAGTATTCATCTTTTACCGCATTTACCACGGGGAGTGTTCCGAGGAGTTGTTTGGAACGATTCCTGCCGCCGAGTTTCGTCATCGGACGACGCGACAGACCGCCAGGTACCATCCTCACCATCTCGATGGCTTGCATTCCACAACCGTGCGGTTTTCGCGGAACTTTCTGCCCCGCACAGCCGCGTTGTGGAACGGTCTGTCCTCGGCGGTATTTCCAAACCAATACGACTTAGGGTCCTTCAAGAAGCGAGCCTATCATTTCCTCAAAGGCCGGCAACGCATCTGTAGTTCCTCTGGTGTTGCGGATGTCCATGAGCGTCGTTGACCACCTAGGTGTACAAGCCGCTCGTTTGCCCCCTTTTACTATAAAAAAAAAAAATTCAACGGATCTCGGATGAACTTATAGTTCGCGACTTCATCCACGTTAAATTAGTAAAATGTTGCTCAGCATTAACGTAGCTTTCTAATGGTGAAAGAATTTTTATATTCGGCCTAGTAGTTTTTGATTTATTTCAATACATACAAGAACACAAATCTTTTCTCTTTATAATATTAGTATACAGTATAGCTTGTCATAAATAATTAAGTTTGATTAATGCGTTTATACATACTAAGCTGTATATTTACTAGCTACTATATTAATATCTAGGATGAGGGTATGTTCGATAACGAATGCTACGTGTCAGGGTCTGACGTGCCTGCAGCAGGCGGTGCAGTGGGCGCCGCTGAGCGCGCGGGCGGCGCACAACCTGGCGCTGGCCCTACTGGCTTGCCGCCGGCCCGCCTCCGCATTCTGCCGGCTGGCCAGCGCCACTGCACTGCAACCTCAACATCCTCACACGGTGACACACGTTCCTATATATATTCTAAACTTCTAGGGTAGTCATCGCTGGCTTAGTGCGGATTAATTGACTTCTCACATATGTCAAGATTTCTTGGAAAATATCTGAGTTGCCTATAAATTCAATGATCACAGAGCAAATAAAACCTGAACTGGCGTTTGAGTCTTTGGACGACCTCCCATGACAATAGACAGAAAGAGGGGAACTAAAGTCAGGGATTAACACCGTCTTACCTCGGGAGGATTTTTTTTTTAAAAAAGGGGGTAACATATCAATCTATCTATTCGGTATATCGACCGCGCTATCTATGATGTTATCTTATAAATGTTTTCCAGGTGCTCCTCCTAGCAATAGCACTGGAGCGTCTGGGCGACAGTCGCGCGGATGCGGCGTATGCCCGAGCACTGAGCGTGTCGCCACACGACGCGCTCGTCACCATCAACGTGGCGGGCAGGCACGGCAGGGCGGGCCGGCTGCAGCTCGCGCGGCACGAGGCACACAATACTGCACGGCTGTTGCAACACAAGGGTGATGCACACGTCAGTATTATACCAATGGAATATAAATTACTAGCTTTCGCCCGCGACTCCGTCCGCGTAGAATTAAAAAAAATGTGAGTAGCTTATGTGTTCTTCCAGACTATCCTCTACGTCTAATCCAAATTTTATCGAGATCCGTCAGACATTTCGGCTACAAACTCTAACAAACATCTATCCATCTAAACTTTCGCATTTATAATATTGGTATGATAAATAACTAAATATTTTAAAGCTATTACACACATTTTTTTAAAATTCCACGAGGACGAAGTTGCAGACGAAAGCTAGTGAAGTCCTATTTTCATACTACTATAAACGCGAAAGTTTTGATGGATACAGTTTTAAGTATCTCCAAGTATGCTCAAGGGATGGAATTTGTCCCTAATGGACCGTTGGAATTTGGCCCAATTCCGCACGGTTGAAGTCGCGGTCAACAGCTAGTGTTATAAATGTAATTATCTTTACAGCTTGCAAGTTCTTTATCAGTTCTGATGAGTTTACTTCAAGACGCAGGGGCGCATGAGTTGTCCGATGCAGCACTCGAAAGACCTCCAGTAGACCGAAAAGACCAAGAAAACGCTATCAATGACAACTTCGATCCTGATGAAGTTTAAACATATAGGAATGTGAGTTAAAAATAAAGAAAACTCTTAGCATTTAACTAGTTATTTAATTTCAGATATTTGTTTTTTTGTAACCTAATTTAAGGTTATAGTTGTAGCTAGTTGACAGTTGATATTTAAAAAAACTGTCAAATGTATTTGACAATTTACGTTTCGTTTGGAATTGTTATGTAATGAACAAATCATAACTGTTCAGTAAAATAAATATATCAATAACATAACGCAAGCAAACAGCAATAAAAGAAATAATAAAATGATTTATAAACACAAGTTCCCAGAATCGATAAATATGATTCTATTGCAACTGGTGTTTGCGGTTTTTGTAAATATTGTAAGTCAAACCTACCTAATATTATAAATGCAATAGTTTAGAGGGATGGATGTTTGTTAGAGTTTGAAGCCGAAACAGTTTTAATTGAAATTTGGTATAGATGTAGAGAATAGTGCGGAAGAACACACAGGCTATTCACTTTTTTTAATTCCACGCGAACGTAGTCGTGGGCGAAAGCTAGTATTGATATATTTATGTAATCACGAATACTACGATTACAGTTTTTTATATTATGAGGTAGCAAAAAAGCAAGCTGCCACCTGAATTCGCTGAAATAGCGAATCTTTAAATGTCATTGTTTTTCTTAGATGGAATGCAAGGAAAGGCGAGCAGGTTTAGTGGTACTGCCGCCGCTCATCATAGGTTATGATGAGTTTAACTTAGAAGAATCTGAAGATGATTTGAATAATGTAAAGGAGAATACAGAAGATCTGAGTAACAACTCGGGATCAGACGCGCGCAGAAAACTTAATGAAGACGGATCGAAGATGTACACAAATTATAATTCACATTACGGGAAAATTAAAAGAAGGAATTAAAGTTGGTGAAGCTTACATAGTTTATAGTTACATGTTGCAATTTTATCAAGATGTATATGATAGAAATCTAACCTCTTAACTTGATGTATTTGTTGTAAAAAAGATGATAGCAGTGCGATGTTAGCGTTTATTATTTACTTACCACCTTTCGCACGCGATTACGTCCGTGTGGAATAAAAAATAAAAGTGAGTAGCCTATGTGTTCTTCCAGACTATTCTCTACATCTATACCAAATTTCATCGAAATCCGTTCAGCCGTTAAGGCTACAAACTCGTAACATACATCCATCTAAACTTTCGCATTTATAATATTATGAAGTATGATAAAAATGTAATAAAACACGATTTAAATATATAACATCTTTATTGATATTTGTTTTAATCTCCATCTCTTTGTTATCTTCAGCAATACTGAGAAATCTTACATTAATTTACTGATTAATGACCTATTATCTACTCTGCGGTAATAAGTTGCTCAGAACAGTCATCTTTTGTGGCATCAGCAATGACAATTGCTGTAAGTGTACACGCAGTCATAACGGAAACTTATTCCCTATGGAATAACTTGACCAGTAAAAATTGGCACATCATTACATACAAGTGCAAAACTAAAACAATTTGAATGAACATTGGAAAGTCTCGGAAAGTTGTGAATTTTAGTTTCTTTGCCAAGAAGTAAGCCTGTAACAATAGAATAATATAGTCTCCTGATTTCGCTAACAACTATCAAATAACCTCTGCAATAATGAGAAACATATTGGTGTTACAACAGATATCCAGCTTTTTTCCATATTTTTTTAATGTATCCATAGTGTTAAAACTAAAAAAAAAATACATGTATGACTTACAGGTTAAAACTTTGATATCAATTCCACTTTGATTCACTGTAACACAGCCAGATTGTGTTATTTTGGTATCCTGCTGATCCTGACAAAAAATATTAAGATATATAACACTAACTTTTGCCTGCAAATCTTTAAGGGAAACTTCGTAAGTAGCCAGTGTTCCCGGCTATGTTCTACATCTGTGCCAAATTTCATCGAGATCTGTTAATCCTTTCTAAAGATTTTTTTTATAAAAAGAAACATTACAAATTTCTCGCAACTTCGTCAGCGTGGAATTAAAAAAATAATAAAAAAATTATAACCTATGTTACTCACTGATACAGTACCTTTCTAACGGTGAAATAATTTTAAAAATCGGCCTAGTAGTTCTTACGTGAATCGAATACATACAAAAATACAAATCTTTCCTCTTTTTATTAGTATAGATTTTACATTTTTAAATACCCGTATATCAATGTTTGATTTGAACTTAAAAGTCGGTAAGTTTTGTCTGCATGTTGCTGTGAAAGCAGGCTGTATAGTGGCCACAGCAGCCGACAAGCCTTCCTCATGTAACTTCTGCACAAGGTGACATAACACGTCTGTCTCATTAGGCACCACGATTGCGAATGACACGTCATCATCACAAGAGCACACCTCAAGTATCTAAAATAAAATAAATTTCCAGTAAAAGAAATGTTGAATAAATGAAATGTTAAATTTAAGAAATTTTAAATAAACTCTCATAATTAGAAATTATCAATAAAAAAGGAAATGTGTAATAAAGTAGGTGTTGCTCACAACTTGGCTAACATGAAAAAAAATCCTATGTTACTCACAGATATTTTTTTTTATAACATAATGTGGCAAACTAGCAAGCAGCCACCTAAATCCGCCAAAATGGCGAAGCGACCGCTGCCCATAGACATCCGCAATAGCGAATGCGCTTACCCTTATCCGACGGAGGAGGAGACGCACATAAAGAGGATATTTTCCCTTCCTATGCATCTACTCCACCGTCAAATCCACTTCCCGTTTCCATCCTCTCCTTATAAGAAAAGGGTGGTAACGAGAAAGGGGCTTAAATTAGGCCTCTGGCACCAAACTCATCAGTCGAAACACGGAATTGCTTCCATTTCACGCCTGTCTTCTGTGTGGTCGTGGTATTACACCGGGCGTGCTGGCCAATTCATGCTAAGATGTTAAAGTGGGCACTACCACTGTTAAAATTATTTCAATAAATTCAAAATAGCAATTTTTTTTATGACGTTAGTACACAAATGTAATAATTAAATGCTAAATATTCAAATATACATAAACTTACCCTAACTTCATACTTAATATCTTCAGTATAACTAAAGGAATTGTGCACTTTGACCATTGGACTCTTCCAGGCACCCTAAAATTACAAGTATTAAAAACTCTAAACAAAATAAATAAATTAAGAAAATTGCATTTTAATAATAACCTTATACATACAAATATTAGTTAAGAAGGCTTTATCATCAGGAATATTATATTTCTTTGTTTGGAATTCAAACTTTGCATATTCATTCGCCTGAAAGATAACAATGGGAAAATTTAATAACTCTATATATAAATTAACATTATACACAGTGTGAACTGGTCCTTATTTTTGTACATTCAAAGTGAAGACATATATAAAGACTCATTGAACCATTGCACACTTCTACCAACATGATTTGTTTATAATCTTTTACTAAATTGTTTAATTGTATGGTTGAACTGTTATTGAAGAACAGAGCATTGTCACAGGTATTTTATACTTAAAAGGATGCTTCAACAACTGTTTGCATATTTTTGTATATGTTTTTTTCAAATAAATTCATTATTACAGTAGAACCTTGATAAGTTAAAGTACAAGGGAAACACAAAATAATTTAAGTTTTAAGTTATCAAGAATCTATGTTGTAGAGGTTTTGGGCTCTGATGGGAAAGGAACATATAATTTTTTGAGTTATAGAGGTTTTAATGTTATCGAGGCTTGTAATTATATTAATTCTAATTTAGTGGGGGAAAACCTTGACTAAGGCACAGTTAACACTGGTCCACTGCAAGTTGACTTCACACAATCATGGAATTTCTTCGCTTTATGCCAGTGTTGACTATGGTCTAGTCATCCCTAATTTGGGGTAGGATCTGCCTGGTGAGGATATATAAAATTTCTGAGCTAAAAGGCTTGTATCCTCACCAGTAATAAATAGTTTAAACTTCATTTAGAAAAAAAAAATTAGTATTTACCCATTTTTCCACAACAGCTTTTAACTCAACATCTGAAGTATTCAAGAATAATTTATTTTTAATGACAAACTCTTTTTTATGTTTAAGAATGTCTCTGACCTGTAAAATTAAAGCTTTTACAAAGTTATTGTGTTATTTTAAAAGTAACTTTTTTAATTTTTACTGTTTAATTATTACTAAAATGAGTATGCTAGTCAATTTAATCCTTACCCTGTCAAATATATTAAAACATTTCCCGGCGCGTTGCCCATGTAAGTGTAAAAGAAAATGAATGCCAAGAGGAGATGATATCCAATTCTTTGCCATTGTGTTTACAACCAATGTACCTAGCTGAAATTGTGAAAATTAACTGTAAGAACCATAGTTTAAAGTACTAGCTGTTTCTTCGGATTTATGTTACTCACAGATAAATTACCTTTCTAATGGTGAAAATATTTTTAAAATCGGCCCAGTTGTTTTTACGTGAATACATACTAAAGAATAAATCTTTCCTAATTATAATAGTAGTATAGATTACGGGACGTTGGAAATTATTACTTTACTTAAATGTAACACGAAATATATTTTGTTCTGATTACATAATTATTACCTTCTTAATATAATTTCTGTTTTACAACTTTTAATAGTTTAACATGATTATGTTCAAGCCATTTCAAAATTATTTTAGACAGCTGTTTCATAATTTCAAATTGACATTGACAATGACATCTCAAACAATAACATTTGAAATTTCCTGGATAAGCAAAAAAGTAATCGAATTTGTCCAGTTTGCACTCTTTTTGATCTAGATTTTTTAGTGATAACAAAATTATCTTAATAATTCTTAATTGTATTGTTGTTATATTATCTAGGGTTGTAGAGGAATAAGCTAAAAAACTAGCAAATAACCTTTTTATATGACTAGGGTTCTTTAAGAAGCGAGCCTACCATTTCCTTAAAGGCCGGCAACGTATCTGCAGTTCCTCTGGTACTGCTGATGTCCATATAGGCGTCGTCGATCACCTCAGTAGTCTCGCCGCCCGTTTACCCACTTTCATTATAAAAAAATAAGAGGTCACCAATATTTTTCCGGCCTTTAAGAAAGACGAAGTATAAGAAAGAGTAAGTAAGTGCCTCATATAAAGTACAGAGAATTATACTTTGTCTTTTATAATTTATAATCAACTAGCTGTTCCCAAGCGGCTTCATACGCGTGAAATTATAAAAAAACTTTATTTTATTGTTTACATTTGTCAAATTCTCAATTGCAAATGTCAAAATTACCGTTACCATAACAACCCTGCTTATGTTGGTAGCTTGTAGTTTATAGTCCCTTTCCCACATGATGGTTTATTCCAATTAATTTACCCCCTCAGTTTAATAGCGTGCAAATATATAGCCTAAAGCGTGTAGTAAGTGTAGGGCTTTTTATTAAAGAAAAAAATATTCAAAAATATGCTGTGTTTGTTGACATCCTACGCCACAAAGTAGTGTGTGTTTACGCTTTATTATATTAGTATAGATTACACAACAATTAAATTTGTAAACGGCGATGACTTAATTTATCTCACATTTCAGGGGAGACTATTTTTGCATTGGAAATACCGAGGAATTTACGTCGGTTTTATCGACCAATATAGATTATACATATCGTTAATAACAAGCGTATAATAAATGTATAATTGCATGATGTACGTCCAGTTATCGAGAGTAAACGATACGAGTCGCATCATGGATTTTTTAGTGCTGATTCTTTGTGAGTATTTAAAAGTAACATATTAAAATTTACGGTGTCTTAACTGCGAGCATGATACCGCAGACATACTGTGTAAGGACAGCGGCTTAAGTTCTACCCTGACATTGGTTATCTTCAAGTTCTGATGTTACGAACTTAGGAAAAACTTTACATGTATACTTATACTTTTGTACTTATTATATTAGATAAGTATCTATACTAATATTATAAAGAGGGAAGATTTGTATTTTTATATGTATTCGATTCACGTAAAAACTACTTGGTCCATTTTAAAAATTCTGCCACCATTAGAAATGTAATTTAATCTGTAAGTAACATAGGCTATGTTTTTACTACATTTTTAATTTCATGCGGACAAAATCGCGGGCAACAGCTAGTAATAAGATAAAGAGAAATATTTGTATTTTTTTGTATGAATTGAAATAACTCAAAAGCGACTGGGCAGATTTAAAATATTCTTTCACCATTTCAAAGGTAACTGTGAATAACATAGGCTATATTTTGAAACCATTGATATTAAATTAACTTGTTATATTAATCACAAAATAGTCTACAAACGTAATTACTATAGTTATAGTTTCTTTTCAGTTTCTTTTGTGATCGCAAGTAACGATGTCATCGCAGGCCGTTTACCATATGGACTCAGATACAAAGATCGGAGGACAATCGATATATCTTCTATGAGGTTACTTAAGGTATATTCAATTTAGAGTGTTCTTGCTTCTTTTACTTACTATTGGTAATTTCAGTGCTGCATACCTTTAATTTGTGATTCCTCAAATTTATTCTTCATTGTGTATATCCGGGTGATCCGAGCACCTTGTTCACTTTGGGCTTCACTGGCACATAGTTTGCTTAACAATACCACTGCATACTATAAAAAACATACAGACGAATTGAGTACCTCCTTCTTTTGGGAAGTCGGTCAACAAAGTCGCTTCTCGCTGTCTGTCTGTATGCTAAGACCTTTAAAACTACGCATTTGATTTTGATGCAGTTTTCTTTTTTTTTTCTATAACATAAGATGGCAAATGAGCAAGCGGCCACCTGAATCCGCCAAAATGGCGAAGCGACCGCTGCCCATAGACATCTGCAATTGCAGATGCGTCGCCTACCCTTGTCCGACGGAGGAGAAGACGCACATAAAGAGGATATTTCCTCTTCCTATGAATCTCCTCCATCGTCAAATCCACTTCCCCTTCCCATTCTCTCATAAAAAAAGGGTGGTAAAGAGAAAGGGACTTAAATTAGGCCTCCGGCACCACACTCATCAAACGAAACACGGAATTTCTTCCATTTGACGCCTGTCTTCTGTGTGGTCGTGGTATTACACCGGGCGTGTCGACCCATTCGTGCTAAGATGTTAAAGCGGGCACTACCACTGTTAACTGTTTTTTTTAATAGATAGCGTGATTCAAGAAGTTATGTATAATATAATTTATAATACATAATAATTTTAGAATTCTAATGTGCTGTCGTAAATAATATCTTCCTATCAGTATTGGACCCATGCGATGCCGCGGCGGATCGCTAGTAATACAATAAATGCAATATTCAGGATGTGTACGAGGCGAGTGACGACAAGAATGTAGTGACTTCTCCACTTGGCATATTCGTGCTGCTCTCCTTGTACTCGACGGTGACCAACGGCACATCCAGACAGGAGATCCAGAATTACCTGGGATTCCAAGACTACAGACAGGTTAGACTACCCAGCAAACAGTAATTGTGAGGTTTTGTAACAATAAAAGATCTCTATTAAGTGTTACTTTTTATTATTATGTTCTTTAGTTTATTTTAAAATCCGAAATTAGAAATTATTATTGTTAGTTACGTAATTATCTATACTAGTTAATATTGTAAAGAGGAACGATTTGTATTTTTGGATTTCAATATGTATTTGATTCATGCAAAAACTACTGGGCCGATTTAGAAAATTCTTTCACCATTTGAAAGGTAATATATCTGTGAGTAACATAAGATATAATTTAATTTCACGCGGACGAAGTCATGAGCAACATCTAGTCTGATATAAAATGTTTTTTTTTATAATATGAGGTGGCAAACGAGCAAGCGGCCACCTGAATCCTCCGAAATCAAGAGCGACCACTGCCCATAAACATCCGCAATTGCAGATGCGTTGCCTACCCATAATTGACTGAGGAGGAGACGCACCTGAAGAGGACATTTCCCCTTCCTATGCGTCTCCTCCGCCGTCAAATCCACTTTTCCTTTCCATCCTTTCCTCTTAAGAAAATGGTGGAAAGGGAAAGGGACTAAAATTAGGCCTCCGGCATCACACTCATCAGACGAAACGCGAAATTGCTTCCAGGCGTGAAGGCCTGTTTTCTGTGTGGTCGTGGTATTACACCGGGCGAGCCGGCCCATTCGTGCGAAGATGTTAAAGCGGGCTCTACCATTGTTCTTTTTCAGTTGACGCATTCATATGAATTTTTAAGCGAGAGTTTATCCTCAATGGACCCTACATTGTTGACGTTCGCCAACAAAGTCTGCATCTCAGATAAATACCAGCTTGAGAACGAGTTCGTGACCCTCGCCACGCGACGCTACCACAGCGAAGTATCACCTATCGACTTACAAAATCCTGAAGCGGCCGCTAATTCCGTCAACCAGTGGGTGAGTTAGATCGTTACATCGTAAGGGCGTATACCTTTGAATAAACTATGGCACAACTGCTGTGCGATTGTCGATTGTTTTGCAGCCAATCAACTGTTTAGTTGCAGAACTAAAAATCAAGTAGTGTGCGCACCTCCATATAGCTCATAGGAATCAAAGCGCAACTAAACAGTTGTGCTATACTTGAGAACGAGATCGGATGAGAAATATGCCACTATTAGGATTCGAACCCCTAAATGCAAGCAGCTGTTACGAAATCAAATAGGTGGCTCTTTCAGTATCTGGCATTAATTGTGCAAGCTGACATGTGTATACCCGGCCTTAAGTTCTAATTATAAATGCTTTACCGATGGCCTCATGAGGTCCCTCGTCACTGACCGTACCTAGCAGACGATCGCGGGACGCGGTCAGTTGTGGGAGGGTGTCATCGGCAAATCTTCTGTCTTCTACCGTTACCGTTACATCATTCATTAAATGTCTTTTAATGGTAAAATTATTTTTAAATAAAATTACAGGCTAACATGAAAAGTGGCGGCAACATTAAGGACCCAGTGTCTCCCATGATGTTTACTCCTGACACAGTCGCGTTGCTTCTCAATGTCATCTATTTCCAGGTTATTAAAATAATAGAATTTTATTCACATAATGCGTACTATTAGAATGCTACACGAAGAGCTTGCAAAAGCGACGACTAAGGCTTTCCTAATAATTAAACAAAAATTATCAAAGAAACATAACTGGCTTGACATTAACATTAAAAAAATATATGATATTATACATATCTATATTAATATAATAAAGCGTATACAGTTATGTAGGATGTCAGCAATCACAGGATATTCTGGATTTATTCTATTTAAAAAAAAGCCTTACTTACGACTATCTATAGGCTATAGGCTATATATTAATATTAAACTTATGGGGTTATTAAATTGGAAAAGTTATCTGTGAGAAAGGAACAAAAACTAAAAACCAATAGCAGCAAAAAAGGTTGCCATAGTTACTTCAATTTCAGCCAAAAGCAAAGGCATTCGTTATGATTTAAAAATTGAAATTATTACAGAATGTAAGAAATAAAACCATTTTTTTTGATAATGTTTGTATTAAATTAATCGTAACAGAAGTACGATTAAAAATAAATTTTATACCACATAGGGAAAGTGGAAGTATCCGTTCGGGGTAGATGACACAACAGAGGAAGCGTTCCGCGTGAGCCCGACAGAAACCATCATGAAACCCACCATGCGGATTGAGAGGGAATTCACCTACGGTCATGATAATTTATTACGAGCTACAGTAAGTGTAACATTCGAACTATGCAACGTTTCCTCGTTAGAGCGTGGCTCGCGTCTCATTGCTGGGAGGAGAAATGCGCGCTGGAATTCATAATTCGCTGTGAATCTATACATATAATAAAATTGGAATGTCTGTAATATCAATAGAAAATGAACGAACGGAAATTTAAATAACGAAAATCGCATTTAAAACTTTTTGTCTGTCTGTTCTCAAGCCGCGTTTGTTTCTGGTGATCTCCGAAACTGCTCGGATTTCGACTGGTCTTTCACTGAAGGGCAGTTGACAGACAGGCATATTATAGGCTACTTTTTTTAATTCCGCGCTGTCAAAATGGCGACCGGACTGCTATCTCTGGAACGGGTGGACCGATTTGGACGGGACTTTAAATGGAAGGTAGCTGTAACGAGCAACAGCTAGTGACAAATAAGTGTTACTAAATATTTTATTATTTCCAGATGATACAGTTGCCGTACAATGAGACCGACTTTTCGATGTTTATAGTAGTACCAGATGAAATAGATGGACTGCCATCGTTATTGGATACGTTAGCAGAAGTTGGCGCACTACGGGTCTTCTCTAAACGCAACATGACATACCGCAAAGTGTACTTACAGATGCCGAAGTTTGAAGTTAAAACGAAGTCTAACGTGAAAGATATTTTAGTAAAGGTAAGTTTGTAAACGTTGAGTGTATTTTTCACCTTATTGTATCTACAGTTAGCTACATAAATATAAACACAAACACACAAAAAAATTAAATCAAATATACTATGTGTTCTTTCAGACTATGCTCCAGATCTATACCAAATTTTATCCAGATCCGTTCAACCGTTTAGGCTACAAACTCTTATAAACATCCATCCATCTAAACTTTCGCATTCGCATTTATAATATTAGTAAGATTTACGACCTTCAGAATTAGGAATGTAAGAATACGCTTGTACATTTCCTATTACGTTTTGTACTGTTGACGACAACGTGCATAAACATTTTGAAACCGAAGACGTCACAAGTTTCTAGTTTTGGAAATGTATTCATATTTCTGCAGCTGATTGTACTTAGTAACCTTTTATTTGGTTCACGGTTATTTTGTAATGCAGGAAGGTGTGCGCGGCATCTTCGATAAGTATAATACGGGAGTCGTGAAAGGCGAGGAGGTGAGGGTGTCCGAGGTGTTCCAGCAAGCCAGCATCACTGTGGACGAGGCGGGTACGGAGGCCGCTGCTTTTACTTGTGAGAATCATACGTTTTTATCTATAGCATTACCGATGGAACTGATACACCATTGACCCTTCGCAGCTGTCTATGGTGACAGATGTCGAAATTCAAAATTCAAAGTTTTTTTCTAAATTATCATTTTTATAATACTAGCTTAAGCTAAAGGGTTTAGCTTAGGTAAAGCTTTAGGGTTTAAACCCGTCTCCGTTCGCGTGGAGCTATAAAAAAGCAGGCCTATGTGTTCTTCCAGATTATCCTCTAGGTCTATGCCAAATTTCATCGAGATCCGTTTAGCAGTTTAGGCTACAAACTCTTACAAACATCCATCCATCTAAACTTTCGTATTTATAATATTAGTTTATTATATCAGTAAGATTATTATTTGAATCGCGTTTCAGATTTTGGACTCGAGTTAAGATGTCTCATGGAAGAGGATGAGCCTGTGGTTTTCTTTGTGGATCGGCCGTTCGTTTACGCGATTTTACATAAGGATGTTGTTTTATTTACTGGAACTTACACGCATTAGATATACTAGCTGTGAGACGCGACTTTGTGTCATTTTTGTATGTGATTAATTTAAGTATTCCTGTGGCGTTTCATGTCTTAAATATAAAATGTTATAGTTAAGTATTAAACAATAAAAATATTAACTGTGTTTTGTTTAAATATTATAAATCTGTATTCTCGAGTTTTTTAATAATTTAACATTGTCATTGTCACATTTTGTAAAACTATTTTTGGGTGCGAAGTTTTTTTTTCAAACATCTTTGAGAGTGTTTTCACACTGGGTTATTTAAAAAGCAAGACGTTGGTTAAATAAAAGTCAAGAATGGTTTTCAATTATTTATATTGAAATTATCACCTTCTTAATCAGCAGTGAAGGGTGTCTACGTTTTACGTACAACACAAATACAAAAGACAGGGCGGCGCGACGCTGCATCGCCGCGAAACCGCAAAATAACGCTATACGAAAGTAAACCTCTCATGTAGATTTTCTCTGTCGTGTATAAAAATATATTCCAGTCACTTATTACCGTAAAAACAGGAATAATTGAGGCTTTACAATTTCTTGTATTTCGCTTCGCTTTCGCATTCGTTTCGCTTCCGCGGGTGCAGTCGCCAGCGCCGATCGGTGGGACTTGCCTCAAGGCACTTGAGATTACCAGCTTCGGATTTATTTGGCAAGTCGTAAGAGAACGAATTTACTTCACGCTTGTTATATAAAATTATTTTATTAACACTTTATGGGCAGTTTTGTAAAAATTATAGTTATTTCTAAAAAAATAATTTTATAGAACAAGAGTGAATTATAAAAAATATATTTGTTACGTAAAATTTTCAACAGAACAATTAAGGCTACAAAATTATTGCTCGATCATTTTATTCGCTTTACATTTAATTGATAAAAAACATTGTAAAATAAAGGTTATTTTTAAGGCCTAGATCAAACTGAATGAATGAAGTATATCCCTTTATATTCATAAACTTTAATCTAATGTATTGTACCATAACATTACATTCTAAGTTAATTGATATTGTGTAAAATATTCAGTCTGAAAATAGCACATAGATATATAACCTACTAGCTTTCGCCCGCGACTCTATCCGCGTCAATTACAAAAAGTGTTCTCCCAGACCTTCCTCTACATCTATGCCAAATTTCATCAAGATCCGTTCAGCAGTTTAGGCTACAAACTCTAATATTCATCTAAACTTTTGCATTTAAATTAGTAAGATAGATTTGAACAGACATTTAAAAAGTATATAGACTAGACAAAGTGAACAATATTTTCAACGGTACTCACTGTGGAAGGTACTATATCTGTTTCAAATTAAGTGTCAAATATGCCTCCTGTATATATTTTTAATCTCTTTGTATCTACAGTTCCGTGAACGAGTAACAAAGAAATTTTAGTAGGACTTTCAATTTTGTCATTCAAAATATAAAAGAACATTTCGTAAATCTTAGAGATCAACTTTTTTCCGTCGATAACGATGATGCCACCTTGAGGCCGTTAGAGGCGTAGAGAGGACCTAAATATAATAGACCTTTCATTTTTTATTTGAATAAAACATACCCTCAATATTTTAAAGTTGCATTGCTCACTCTAATCTTATTTAGACTGTAGATTTATTTAAACTGCGATACTATTATTGAGGTTTTTAATGAAATGCAGGCAATATAAATTTAATTCTACAGTAGGGGTTATACTTTGGGACCTCTATAGATTATATATCTATGGGCATAATTACCGATACAATGTAGGAAAATTTCTTAAACCATTCCGTTCCAATTGGTTGTAACAAAACCTTTGACTAAACTATCGCACAACTGTTGTGCGATTGTCGAATGTTTAGCAGTCAACTGTTTAGTTGCACAACTAAAAATCGGGCAGCGTAACCTCCATATAGGCTGATAGGAATCAAAGGGACACTAAACAGTTCTGTTATAGTTTAGTCAAAGGTGAACTCTTTCGTTAACTACAGACTTTCAGTTCAATTGTAACTGAACAGTCAAATTGTTCAGTTAAAACTGTGCATGAGGATTTGTAGAGCTTTACAAAGAAGCATTGTACTATTATTGGTTTAAAACAAATGTTTTACAATATACATTGTGATTCTTGGATCAAATCTTTGTTTTAGAATATATTTTGAGTTAAAAGGTAGCTGGTAATGTCCATTAGTCTAGACAAAATGACTTTCGATTAGAATATTGCTAGAAAAATCAACAAAATGTATAAAAACGTATATAGTTGACATCTCGAAAGTTATTGTCAGTTTTATATTTTTGACTTTTTCATCAACAAGGCCGAAGTCTTCCAAAGTTTATGATCCGTCAGAATCATCCTGTATATGTGTTATTATGGCAAATTATTCAATTAAAAATAGCAAATACGAGCATTCCACCAGCAATTGTTATTAGTTGAAAATCAGTCCAACTACATGTAATAATTTCGTTTTGTTTTTTAAATTTTATTCAAATGTTATTATCTATCATTATAAATGCACTTCTCGTTATTAGATAATAATTTATGCTACGTTAATATAAAAGTATTCGAAAAAGAAACTAATTTCCCGCCAAAATGTAAACACAACTTACGAATGATATTGACATATTAAACTTTTAATAAACAAAAAGTGAATTACAAATATGATTTCGGTTTTTTAATATGGCTTTAATAAAAAGAAACAAACAAGAGTCGGTAAAGAAGTTCATTTAGCTCTGTCTGAAAACATATAATAACAAACGAAAACAATAAAAGTTACATGACAGCTGCAGTATGAAAAATTTGTCAAAAAACTGCAATAATTAAAATATAACCACCGGTTTTGTTATTTTTATAAGTCTATATTTTTTTTTAATTTCAAACCTATGCATTTCAGAACGATAAAATTAACATTCGTAAGCAAAATGGCGGTTAAATGTCAAAAATAATACAAAGAGGTTAACTTAAAACATAGAAAAAACTGAAATACTCGAAAATACTGAAATAATGATGGCATGGCTTACTTTTGGAATGACTTATATTTAACTTCTTTGGTGTTGTGTCAACAATGACCTCAATATATAGATAGGTTCATCGAAATAACAGTTTTTAAAACGCTTCATTTACTGAAAGGTTGAATATTTATGTTAGAGTTTAAAATATCAAAATAAATAAAATGCTGATAATCAAATAGGGAATTAATTTATAGCCTATCCATTTATAGAGGTCAATGTTTGTTGCTTGCTATGGGACGCTAATGGCGTTCTATCTATCCACTAAAGAATTGATATTAACACACATTTTTTTACATACACAATCACATTAATCGTGTTACTAATTTATATTCTATTTTTACTCTATATTTACAGGAAATCTATTTACATAAGGGAATATTTGAGATCATTGCATTGATATATTACAAAACGCCGTCTCTCGCATCACTTATTAATTAAAAATAATACTTTTAAAACGAGACCTGTTGGCAACATTATACTACAAATGTCTATTGCATTGCTGTGTTGCCATAACAATTTTGAATGTATTTTGCATTTTTCAGTCAATATCTGCAGTTGGCACGTGAATCATATTGGTACTCTTGTAAATGACGTGCCAACTGAAATCGAACTGGCCCTACGAACATTTTTTTTTGTATGAAAGTGGATATCAGTTCCATTAACTGTTATACTGCGAATATTTATTATTATATACATGTATTGCACATAAACAAAACAATACGAGTGCATATGCACTTTTACTGCGGGTCTCGACTTGTATATATTCGTCTCTTTCATTTATATTGATAAAACAGAGACAGAAATATATGAGAACAGAACAAACCCGCAGTGATACCCGGTTCACATCATTCCAGTCCAGCGATCAAATCCAGCGCTAGACAACTGAAAATACACAGAATGTAGTGGTTTTCAGTGTAAGATTAAATGTTTTTATATTCATTCCAGCGCTGGTTTCATCCACTGGACTGGAATTATGTAAACCAGATCTGTGTCTATTAACCGAATCTCTCTTTGACGAGGAACATGAGTTTCTTCTTGCCTTTGTATTTGAGTTTGATTTCTTGGAGCAACGCAGCGAACTGATGCGGGCCGTCGTGCGCCAACGCGAATGTGTCTCGAGCCTTGCCTACACATTCACAAATAATTAGTAAAATACACCAAAACATGAATTTACAGAAAAAAAAAACAATTAAAAAAACTATAGTAAGAGGCCACTTGAATTCCCCAAAATAGTAAATTGAATTTGGCCTATAGACATCTCAATTTGCTGATCCCTTGTTATCAACCCAGAGAGTAGCACAAGAAAGTCTTTCCTCTGCCCGTTTTAACATACTATCTTTTAGCCGCAACTCCGTCCACGTGGTATTAAAATAAAGTAGGTAGCCTATGTGTTCTTCCAGACTACATCTGTGCTAAATATCATCGAAATCAGTTCAGCAGTTTAGGCTACAAGCTCTAACAAACATTCATCAATCAAAATTTTACATTTATATGAGATTTCAAGCATCTTGGATGGTGTTGTGTAAATGAGGGCAAAAATATTCATCCATTCCTAACAACAAACTTGTTATGAAAAGTTCACATTTGGCCAGTACAGTAAGACAGTCAAGCATGGATTGTATGAACTCACGAGTCGACAACTCACTTATGTGTACTGTCCAACTGTATTACCCAAGTGTGTACGAAGCATACGTACCGAGGAAGTCTACGAAGTCGGCGTAGTGTCGCGGCGAGATGTGCGCCAGTCGCGCGTGCGTCGTGGACGCGTACGCACGCAGCGCCGCCTCCAGCAGCGGCCGCAGTGGCGTCGGCGGACGCGGCGGAGGCGGACGTGCGCGCGAGCACCCCGCCGCCGCCACGCAGCAGCGACGCAGCACATCTGACTACAAACACAATATGAAGTACATAGGTACTATCGGGGAAGTTGGCGGTATTCCAATTTTAAAACAGTGAGTGTACTTTATCATTTGCGCAATTCAATGTAATGGAGTATGTCGGTAACCTTAATCCCTAAAGCCTCGAAAATATTCATATTAAGAATTCGTACCTCGTGCAGAAAACTTTAAGCTAGAGACATTTCGAACGTTTTATACGTACAAACAACATTAAAATAGCAAATTTAACATAAATTGATTCAAAAAGACTGTTATTCGGGTGTACAACTTGTTGATTTCAATTAATGTAATTATTAACTGCATCCTCAGTTTTATGACGGAGAATGAAAGAGACGACGGTATAAAACAAGGGGCGGGGTAGTGGAGTTGTCAATTGTTGTATAAGACATGGTAATTACCAGCACGGGCGCGCACTGCACGTTCTTGACGAGCAGCGGCAGCATGGCCTGCAGCTCGGCGCGGCCCAGCGAGTGCGCCAGCGCCACCGCCCAGTGGATGTCCGCGATCGCGGGGTGGCTGTCCTGCACCACCACACACACATACACTTTATACATAAACATAGTCATTTACATTTTAGCAAGAGTTAAAAACAAAACAGACGACTTGAGTACCTCTTTATTTTCGGAAGTCGGTAAAAAAAAGAGTGTAATTATATGGTAGTATATGGAAGAAATCTATGCCTACCCGGGACAATGATTGTTTTTAATATAAATGTTAGTAGATTTTTATTAATTTGCCAATATTTATTTAACCATTCCAATTAAGATCTAGACTTGTGCGTAAATTTGGTTTACAAATATCAAATGGCAGGATTCGAACCCTTGACCCTGTGATCGAAGTTTCGTAACTATAACAATTAGATTGATGGGGCTTAAATAATAAATTGATTTAATAATTCAATGTAATTTATATGAATAAACGCTTGTTATTGTAACATAGTGTATGGTCCTTCGAATCGGAAATCCGTAATCCTAACCATTAAGCTATTGGAACTTAAATAAATTACTAAATAATAATTTAATTTAATAATTCAATGAAATATATATGAATAAAGGCTTATTACGATAGTAATGGAGCGCATGGTCCTTCGAGTCGGATTGACAGTAATTACAGCGGTTACGTTGTGTCGCTGGACCAACGCAGTTACCTGGTTGTAGTGCAGGTGCAGGTTGCGCATGGCGAGCGTGGCGAGGCGCATGGCGCGCGCCGGCTGGCCGCGCTGCTCCATGTAGCGCGCCACCGCGAACAGCTGGCTGGAGGCCAGCGCGCCGCGCGCCGCCGCGCCGCCCACCGCCGCGCACGCCGCCTCGAACGCGCCCGCCGAGCCCTCGCACACCGACAGCGCCGACAGCGCGCAGCCCGGCGGGTCCTGACACCGGACATACAATAGTAAAAATAAAGTTCCCAGACAACAGAAAAGCATCCATGTAAAGTCGGGGAAATCCACAGTGTTCCATCATCATCCACTTGCCCTCATCCCTTACGAAGGGTCGGCACAGTATGTGCTGCTCCTCACATCTGATTCCACTCCTTTCTTAAGCACATCCTCTACATAAAAAAACATTTTTTTGCAACTAGAAACTTTTGTTATAAATAAAAACAATGGGAATTGTACACACGACTTTTAAATTAGGTTACCGCCAGATTCCCCGATTGTAAAGTCGCGGAAATCCGCGATTTTCCTCAGAAGAAAATTCCTCATTCAATGCAACGAGTCAAACATCTCTTCCTACTAATTATATAGTGAGTAACGCAAACGAAAGGATTATTAAGTTATTTCAATATTAGTATAGATGTGTACCTTGGCGGCGCACTGCAGCGCCAGCGTGCGCGCGCAGGCGCTCAGCTTCTCCTGCTGGTCGAAGCTGAGGCCGAGGCGCAGCGCCGTGGCGTGCGACATGGCCGCCGCCGCCACCGGGCCCGTCGCCTCCGTCGGCGTGAACAGCTCGAACCTGACACCAAATATCTTATTTTAAACGTTTACTAAGCTAACACTCGACCACGATCGCGATCGTTTACTCTACTTTTGAAGGCTACTGACGCCGCCAACTTGTTTCAATCCCTTACAGTACCCACAAGAAACAATATTTCAAACATTTTCGTTCGAACTTGCGGTATATTAATTACAAAAGGATAGAATCCGGCCATTTGATTTATATTTACTACTAAAATTACTGTTAATAAACTATAGTATACACTACGTCTATGGGCAGCTATTATAGTCTTTTTTGAGGCGTTTTTATACATATTTTACAGTTTTCAACCATACGCAAGGAAGACTCCTGACAACCAAGAAGTGGGGAGGGGGGGGGGGCAAACAAGGATTCATCTTAATAATAGATATTATCGAGATTACAGTCTAACATTTTAAAATAAGTTTAAATTAGAACGAATAAAAGCTATTATAAACAATCGCCTATCCATTTATGCAGATGAGAGGAGACTGTGAGTGCTGACCAGTTCTGCATGATGGAGAGCAGCGCGTCCAGGCCGAGCTCCGTGGCGCAGGTGACCAGCCAGCGCACCATCTCGCGCCGCCGCCAGTTCACCGACGACAGCGTCATACGTAGCACCTGCACAATACAACATTACCTCCAAATAGCCTGCTTAAGGATACTTTATTAATTAAAAAGTGTAAGGGCCTGTCCCACAATTCTTGTAAATTGTCAAATAACAATCCAATGTATAAAAACTTTGTAAAAAATATTGGACTTTGGTAATATATCTGACAGTGACGTCACTTTTAAGCTATCTGAGCCTCTATCAGCCAGTGGTGGGACAGGCACTAAGTATTATGAAATAAGTAAATATATATGTAATGTTGTACCTGCAGGCCGAGTTCGAAGGCGGCGGCGAGCAGGTCCCTGTGGTGGTGCGGCGCGTCGGGCGGCGCGGCGTGGCGCAGCGCGTCCTGCGCCAGCCGGAACAGCTGCGCCGCGCTGCGCACGTGCCGCTGCGCCGCCGCCAGCGCCGCGCGCAGCCGCGCCGGCGTGCCGCGCGCCGCGCCTACACCGTACATCAACACAACATTACTTCAAATCTATTCAAGAAATTAAAAATAAATAATCTTTAAGAACACAAATCTAAAAATTTTCTTATAGATATTGGACAAAAAAGATAGTACGATATACGCTCACGCCAAGTTTAAAAAACTGCCTAAACAAAGTTGGGTATAATTTAGATCAAACGCTCCCAACCGTTTTGCTTGTGAATCCGTTTCTAAAATTAACTAGTTTCGACGGAATTTCCATCTTTAGTTAGATAACGAAAGTTTAGTTAAAAGATGTAAATGAATATAGCAAGTTCACATACAAACGCACTTATAGGCAACCTTTCGGTGTTCGAAAGTAGTTAAAAATTTCATGAACCAAAAACAACCTAATTCACAATTCATCGATCTTTTGGACATTTGGTTAATTTGAAATTGGAGAATATGTGATGTAGGAGACAGTGTGAGCAGTACCGAGCAGTGCGCTGGCGAGCGCGGCCTGCTGCTGCTCGGCGTGCTGCAGCGTGTGCCAGGCGCCCGCGCCCGCGCCGCACGCCGCGCCGCACGCGCCGCCGCCGCCGCCGCCGTCCAGCGCGTACGCCTCCTCCACCATCGGCAGTCTGACACAAATACATACTTCATATTACGACTAAATAGTAACAAACCTATTTGATACAATATAAAAAACGAATGTACTTAAAAACTATATTTAGAAGTGAAAAAAGGACATAACACTCCGGGAAAAAGACGAATCGGATGACACTCCATTGAGGTTAGGTCGTTTAATTAATTTTAAATCGGTTTAAGACCTGTCCCATTATTTGTAAAGTATCTGACTACAATCCAACGTTAAAATATGTGATGGAAATATCGGATTTTGTTACCTTATTTGACAGTGACGTCATTTTTTAGCTATCTGAGCTTATTTCAACCAGTGGCGTAATAGCCCCTACGGGCCTTATTTACACCATATTTTACACTTTGGATAAAATCCCTAATGTGGGAATGAGACCATAAGTTGTTACCAACATTAAGGAAACAAGATTGCCGAAGTTTGTCATGTCAAGTCAGTTTGACATTTGCTATTGATAATTTGACAAATGTAAACAATAAAATAAAATTTTCATAATTGAATGGGGATGAAGCCGCACGGGAACAGCTAGTGTTCAAAATAGTTTGAGTTACCTCATAGCGCGCAGTCCGACGCGGTAGGCGAGCTCGGGGTCCGAGGGCAGCAGCGCCAGGAAGAGGTAGCGCGCGAAGGTGTGCGCGGGCGCCGAGCGCGGGTGCAGGCGCGCGCCCAGGCACGAGCTGGGCCCGCCCGCCAGCAGCGCGGCCGCCGCGCGCGCGCACACGCCCGCCGCCTCGCCCTCCACGCGCTGCAGCTGCGCGATCAGCCGCTCCTCCTGCCGCCGCCACCACCATCGTTATTACTTACCATCTTTATTTTAAACTTTGTAAACCAAAGATAAACAACATTGATATATTTATTGACTAGTTTTCACCCGCGACTAAGTACGCGCGGAAATTAATAAAAAAAACAAATGCAAGTAGCCTATGTATGCCATCTACACCAAATTTCATTGAAAGCCGTTTGGGTTAAAAATCTAACATCCATCCATCTTAACTTTCGCGTTTATAATATTAGTAAGAAGTAACATAACATAAAAACGTAGAATTGATGACGTTTCCCTCGTCTTGTTATGAATGATAAAATATTACATACTAGATGTTGCTGGCGACTTCGCCTGCGTGAAATTAAAAACTATTTTACTCACTGATAACGTAGATTTTTAATGGTGCAAGGATTTAAATCGGTCCAGTAGTTTTTGAGTTATTTCAATACATACAAAAAATCCAAATCTTTCCTCTTTATAATATTAGTATGGATCATTACATTCATCATTTACTTCTATGACGATGCAGCAGCTGACGCTGCTGGACTGTAGCGCAGTTGTAAGTACCTGTTTGCAGTATCTCTCCTGCGCGTACAGGCCGTGGGGCAACATGCGCTGCATGCCCAGCCCCAGCAGCGCCGCCTCCAGCGCCAGCGCCAGGTACGTCTCCTCGGGGTTCTTGCTGCCCGCCACCGGCACGTGCTGGTATCTGGAATGTAACAATATGTTTATTATTTAAAAAAAATAAAAAAAAACATCGTTGATCGCGACTTAACCACGTGAAATTAAGAAAAGTAATAAAAAATATTACGTGACTCACTGATAACGTAGCTTTTTAATAGTAAAAGAATTTTTAAAATTGACCTTGTAGTTTTTGAGTTATTTTAATACATACAAAAATACAAATTACTCTTTTTTATAATAAAAAAATGTGACAAAAGTGAAAAAACATGCACGCACGCATGCATGCATGCATCTTGCGGTTCCACCTTAAAAGCTAACTTCTTTTGAACGATTTGCACACTGAAACGACTTAGTAAAAAAATACAACAAAACATTTAAATGTGTCTACAAACAGTAGGTTATTAGTTCCCACCTAAGTTAACAGAAGTCACTCCTACATAATCGGGTAATTGCAAAAAGAGACGAGGTTTAGCAAGAAACAAAAAAGTATTGTGAAAGTGTAACATCGCGTATTCCGTGAAGTGTACCTGGGCGGCAGGCCGGTGGCGGGCTCCTCGTCCATATATGTGTGTAGGCGGGGCGAGGCGCGCTGGTCGTCGGGCGCCAGGCACGCGTCCGCCAGGCATTCGTGCACACACCACACCGCCTCCAGCGCCCACCCTGTCCACCCCCGACTGTCTGCACAGAGATAATAACACTATAAACAAGGTATAGTTAGAATCCGGTATTAAATACGTCGAGAGTAATACAGGGTTATTGGTAATTAGACGTATTCCCGTTTTTTTTTTACTTCGCCGTCTCTGTTCTTCTTGCGTAGCAAGAAATTTTATTAGACTAATTTGCCGACTTGTTCTGTTTTATAATGTTTATGATGAGATGATATAATTTCTATGAGGATTCAAAGAATCCAACAAGAGACGTATTTCCGTTAGGAGGTAATAGAGGGGATCATTTGTAATAATTTTGATCCAAAAGTGGACCATTTTCGAGTAACTTTGAGAGCGTCGGTGGCTCAGGGTTTAAGCACTTGACTTGTATTTAAATTCCGCTTGGGTTTAAATTCCGTCTTGCATCAATGTGATTTTCTCTTTTTCGAATTCTCATATGTACATTATTTACCCGACATTCTTACGGTGTAGGAAAACATCGTGATGCCTGCACATATTAGCGAAGAAATTCAAAGATATGTGTGAAGTCAACCAACCCGCACTGGGCCAGCGTGGTTGACTATGGCCTAGTCACCCTAATTTAGGGTAGGCTCCGAGCCCCTCGGTGGG